AGGTTTGAAGCAAGTACAGAGGCACGAAACAGGTGCAGGAGAACAGAAGGCAGGGTTTGTGGCAATTTGGAAGGAGAGATTAATTGGTGAAGGGATGCTGGTGCAAGGCAAATAGCCTACTTACCTGTCATTGTACTGATACTCGTGTGACAATGTGGTCCTCTGGCTTTTCACAATAGGCAGGGTATAGAACATACTCAGCCAGCCCACACGTTCAAAACGCAAGGTCAGCCATTAGATATGGTTCCACAATTAGACAACATGACTGAGCAACCTTCTGCACTAAGAACTAACAGTTTAAGATCATTGGTCAAACTGGCTCAGTTATACTTAACAGAAATGGCACACACACGGATTGGTACTCTGCAAACTGTAGGAATACATTCAAGCCTTTTGGCTTTTGTTTGAAAGACGCAGGAGCTTGTGGAGTTTGTAGTTTTCATGACAACACCTTGACAATCAGAGTTAACTAACGAACCAATTAGCACCACATTCTCCCTTGGCATAAATGGGCATTTGAAATGGACATTCTTGTATTTGTCCTGATGTATTCTTCAGTAACATTCCCCTCTTGTGTAGCGCCCCCCAGCTTCTCCCAAGAGACCCCTGCCTGCCGCTTTTCAAACTTGGTGTTCTGCTTACTGCTTCAAGTTACACAAACTACTGCAGGTGTATTAAAGACACAATGAAGCACCTCTTTCCCATCCTGCAGCAAATTCCTACTCTCTCCAAATTCTAAACTTCTCTCTGTGTTCACAATGCAATTCATTACATCCACTAAAACTAACGTAGCTCTTCCAGCCCCCGTCCCGTAAGTTTGTCAGTCTGTATCTTCCAATCCTCCCGCCGTTGAGAACCATCTGTCCTAATTAGCTTTAACAACATCCTTTATAATCCTGACTGCTTAATCTTCCCATAATCTATCCTCCAAGGGGAACAATCACAGCACCTTTAGTCTTTCCGGGTAACTGAATTTCTTCAATTTCTGATGTCACTCGAGTAAATCTCCACACCCTCAATAAGGTCTTGTGCTCTCCTGTGGAGAGTAACTCGTAATTGAACACAATCATGTTTGTAATACTGAGGCTTAACCAGTGGTTTATAAAAGTCTAGCATAACTTCCTTACTGTTATACTGTTGAAGTGCATAGAATTTTGTGATGAAAAATGTGTGATTATAAACATAATTTTCAGAGAATTTGGGTTATAAAGTATGGGTTACAAGTGTTGATCTTTATTTTGTGAAGGGGCCTCCTAGCGTGTTAACGTTTACATTGCTTTCTTATAAACCCGCATTTAGCTATTAAATAAGAGGGAGGGAAAGCAACTGAAGCTAAGATAAGCAAGTTCTTTTTTCATTTAGTTAAAGTTTTTGGGCAGTTTGAAGGAGACCTGAATGCAAGTGATACCTCTCTTAGAAAAAGAAGACAGTTTAGAGCAGTTAAGGAAATAAGTTACCTCAGTGAAAACGTTTAGTTTATGGACTTTCCATTCCAGTAGTGTTTGGCTGAGAAAGTCTAAGCCCTCAAAGGAAAAAGCCTCACAGGACCAATAGAGCAGAAGTAGCTAAGTCAAGCTTATAGATTTGGTCAGGAAGGGAAATGTTTCTGGTCTTTGAGTATCTGGAAAGTGACGGTGCTGGGGTTTAGATGGGATTTTGTTAGCCTTATGGTTTGTTTCACGTTCATTAATATAATAACCCTCTGTTTCATTGTTAGAACCAAATCTGTAGTCTGCAGTGCTTATGTTGCAATGAAAGATCACCACCTTAAACAAAAAATATGATCTATCAAGCCAGATTTATTCTGGGATCTGACTTGTTCAGTAGTAACTAGAATTATAATGATATGCTGAATAAAGTTTATACTGTATGTAAACCTCCTCCCTCCCCTCTTCATCTCTTATCTGCATAACCTTCTATATCTTGCTGTCTCATATGTTTATCCGGTTTCCCCTTCATTCAATTTGGACTTTAAACTTCAACTTTTCCATGTGGCAGTGAGTTTCACATTCTCACCACTCTCTACCTGAATTAGAATTAGGTTTCATGTCATGTGTACTCACGTGCAGGAGTACAGTGAAAAGTCTACAGTGTCACCTCTCATGTTGCCATCTTATGTACAATGCATCTTGATACAAATCTTAGGTACAAAAGGAGGAATAAAGAAAAAGTTACCTTATCTTGCAGTGATTCATAGAAATAGATGTACAGTTAAAAGGATAAAGATTACAGTCAGATAAACAGATTACAGTTAAACATTACATTGTAGTGGGTCAGCACAGGGGCTTGCACACATGGTCTGATCGGCCTCACAAGCTGCTGACTGCCTGTGCTGGTCCCCTATCCGACAGTAGTCCCCATTCCACTTCAGGTTTGAGCCACTCCGCTCCATCCCTCCAGCCCATTCCAATCTGGCTTTCAGCGGCTCTGTTCCATGCCTTCAGGCCGTTCCAATCCGGACCTCAACCTCTCCAAGGTAAGTTTGTTTTTTTTTTTTTTTTTGTTTTTAAAAAGAAAACATTTTAAAATCTTAGGAAAAAAGAGAGAGGAAGAAAAAGGGGAGAAAAGAGACAAAAGCGGAAGGATGGTCAAGCCCCGGGCTGAGGAACCCAAATGCTGCCTACTCCACCTCCAAATTCTTGAGATGTTTTGACTGAATGATATAATCTTTTAGTTCATTCACGGGATGTGGGTGTTATTGACAGGGCCAGTATTTATTGACCATCCCTAATTGCCCTGGAGGAGGTGGTGATGAGTTGCAGCCTTGAACTGCTTATAGGTTGACCCACAATGCCAGTCAATGCACAGTTAAATATTGGATTTATTGGTGACTATCTTAAATGTCTGGGTAGTCTACACAAATGGAAACGTCTACTCTATGGATAGCCCAGGAATCCTCTTCCTAATTGTGAAGATCTCTATTGTATCTCTCCTTAACTTCTCTTCGCTAGAAATAAGATTCCAGCCTGTTCAGCCTTTCTGGTTGGATGGCCCCTGTCAGTTCTGCCATTATTCCCTTGCAAATCTGTTATTTTTTAAATTCATTTACATGATGTGGGTGTCTCTAGGACAGCGTTTATTGCCCGTTCCTAATTGGCCAAAGGGCAGTTTAGAGTCAGCTACGTTGCTGTGGGTCTGGAGTCACGAGTAGGCCAGACCAGGTAAAGATGATAGATTTCTTTCCCTCAAGGAGTTAGTTAATCCACGTGGGTTTTTCCAACAATTGGCAATGGTGTCATGATCAACATTGGAACTTTAATTCTTAATTCTTTCTTGAATTCAAATTCCACCATGGCAGTATTTGAATCCAGGTCCCCAGAACGTTAGCTGAATTTGTGAGTTAATAGTGTGGGTTTCACGGGTATAGTGCCGGAAGATTGGAAAGAGGCAAACGTCATTCCCTTGTTCAAAAAAGGGAACAGGGATAACCCCGGAAATTACAGGCCAGTTAGTCTTACGTTAGTGGTGGGCAAATTATTGGAAAGGGCTCTAGAGACAGGATTTATGATTACTTGGAAAGGCACTGTTTGATTCGTGATAGTCAGCATGGATTTGTGAGGGGTAAGATCATGCCTCACAAACCTTATTGAATTCTTTGAAGAGGTGACCAAACACGTGGATGAAGGTAGAGCAGTGGATGTGGTATACATGGATTTAAGTAAGATGTTTGATAAGATTCCCCATGGTAGGCTCATGCAGAAGGTAAAGAGGCATGGGATAGGGGAAATGTGGCAGATTGGATTCAGAATTGCTGACCCTTAGAAGACAAAGGGTGGTAGTGGACAGAAAATATTCAACATGGTGCTCAGTTACGAGTGGTGTACCACAAGGATCTGTTCTGGGTCCTCTTCTACTTGTGATTTTTGTAAATGATTTGGATGAAGGAGTGGAAGGGTGGATGAGCAAGTTCGTGGGCGATACGAAGGTGGGTCACGTTGTGGACGGCGCGGAGGGCTGTTCTAGGTTACAAAGGGACATTGATAGGATGCAGAGCTGGGCTGAGAAGTGGCAGATGGAGTTTAAACCTGAAAAGTGTGAGGTGATTCACTTTGGAAGGACAAACTTGAAAGCAGAATACAGGGTTAACGGAAAGATTCTTGGCAGTGTGGAGGAGCAGAGGAATCTTGCGGTTCATGTTCACAGTTCCCTGAGAGCTGCCACCCAGGTAGATAGAGTTGTTAAGAAGGCGTATGGTGTGTTAGCTTTCATTAATAGAGGGATTGAGTTCAAGAGCCATGAAGTTATGCTCCAGCTATACAAAAGCCTGATTTGGCCACATCTGGGGTATTGTGTCCAGTCCTGGTCACCTCATTACAGGAAAGATGTGGAAGGTAAGAATAGGTGCAGAGGAGATTTACCAGGATGTTGCCTGGAATGGAGGAAAGGTTGAGCGAGTTAGGGCTTTTCTCTTTAGAACGACGAAGGATGAGAGGTGACTTGATAGAGGTGTACAAAATGATCAGAGGTATAGATAGAGTAGACAGCCAGAGACTTTTTCCTAGGGTGGAGGTAGCTTTTACGAGGGGACATAGTTTTAAAGTGAAAGGAGGTAGATATCAGGGAGACGTCAGAAGTAGGTTCTTTACTCGGAGAGTGGTCGGGACGTGGAATGCATTGCCAGAGAGGGTAGTGGAGTCAGCCTCATTAGGAGCATTTAAGCGGCTATTAGGTAGGCATATGGATGATAGTATAAGGTAACGGTGGAGGTTAGATAGACCTTAGGTTTAGGGTAAAAGTTTGGCACAACATCGTGGGCCGAAGGGCCTGTACTGTGCTGTGCTGTACTGTTCTATGTTCTATGTTCTAATAGTCTAACAATAATACCACTAGACCATCGCCTTCCCTGTTGCAGTTACACAGCCAGGGATTTGAGCTTGAAACTTTTGTATCAGCTCCAAACCATAGATTGTGGCCTAGAATTTAACTAACTCTGGGCTCAGTGAGTTTCATGTGTTGGAGAAAACTAGTTCTTCTGCCAGTGCAACTGTTTCCTGTTTCAGAGTTTTATTACGTGGCATTGGATTTTCCCGGTCATGGTCTTTCCTCTCACCGGTCGCCTGGAATTCCCTATTACTTCACGGAATACATCTCGGATGTGCGGAGAATTGCAGACGGTAGGTTTGGTCCTGCCATGGATTTGATGGGTCACGGTGAGGTGAATCCGGTCTTGAGGCTGTTACTCAGCCCCTCTTGATTCCATCTGCCTGCAGGAGGCCTGTTAGTTGAGGGCTGCAGATGGGCCAACTCCACTAATCTCCTTCCAGGCAGCAGTGGGGATGCTGGCATCACCCTCTCCACTCCAGGAGTGGGAAAATTAGCTAAATGTCAGTCTGAAAAACGGGCAGTTGTGGATATTGGTTTGTGATGAGCTTGTGTCTGTTACAACAGCTATTGTGGTCAAGGCACACAAGTGAAGTTTGTTCACTTTGCCTAACTACCAGAGGATGACATGCTTTACAGTAGTCTTTAGTTTTGCCAGTGACCGAATTATCCAGAGCCTGGACAAAACCAACTTGAATTTATGTGACACATTTCACAAACTCAGGAAGTCCCAGAGCCCCAGCAGTGACAGTATTTGAAAAGAAGCTACAGCGACTTGCCCATGCGGCCCTCAATGTTTATCTCTCAATTAACACTGAAAGATTATATGGTGGTCATCTTTTTTCTACATCTGATATCTTGCTGTGTCCATTTTGGCTACCACGTTCCCTACATGGCCACGCTTCAGAAATATCCCATTGGCCGTCCACCATTGTGCGACGTCGAGGTTGTGAAATACAAATGAAAGTTGCTTCTCCCTTCAATTGGAGCACCAATTTCTTAGAAAATACCTGTTTCAGCACAGCTCATTTCTGGGGGAAGCATTGGCTGGATATTGATATGTTCTGTTACAAGGAATAGGCAGGACTCCTTTAAGAGATACACTCATGTCATCATCGCTCTATCCTAGCATGTGACCTGAGGGTATCAGAATCTCAAACTCCATCTTACCTCTGATCACTCGAAGCATGACACTGTCCTGGAAACATGCTTCTCTGTTGTTCCCGGGTTGGCAGGACTGGTGTATGAAGAGAGACTGAATTGATTAGGACTATATTCACTGGAGTTGAGGAAAATGACAGAGTATCTCATAGAAACCTATAAAATTCTAACAAGACTAGGCAGGTAAATACAGGAAGAATGTTCCTGATGACTGGGAGTCCAGTCCATGGGCCACAGTATAAGGAGACTGGGTAAGCCTTTTAGGACTGAGATGAGAAGAAATGCCTTCACCCAGGGAATGGGTAGCCTGTGGAATTCTTTTCCACGGAAAGTAGTTGAAGCCAAAGCATTGAATGTTTTCAAGAAGGAGTTAGATTTAGTTCTAGAGCTCAAGGGATCAAAGGGTATGGGGACAAACAGAGGAACAGGGTACTGGGTTGGATGATCAGCCATGATCGTATTGAATAGTAGAGCAGGCTTGAAGGGTTGAATGGCCTACTCCTGTTCCTATTTTATATGTTCCTGTGTTTGTAATCTAGTAGCTTAATATTATCCCAAGCACTCATGAGCCTGATGAGTGTATTGTTTGTACAGAGTTGGTTGGAATAAACATCTTTTGGATTCTTCAAAGCCACAGTATCTACACCCATTCTCTCTCAGAACCATTGAATCCCTACAGTGTGGTAGCAGGCCATTTGGCCCATCGAATCCACACTGACCCTCAAAGAGCATCCTACCCAGACCCATTCTCCTACCCTATCCCTGTAAACCTGCTTTTCCCATGGCTAACCCACCTAACCTACACATCCCTGGACACAGTGGCAATGTTAGCATGATCAATCCAGTTAGCCTGCACGTCTTTGGACTGTGGGTTGAAACCCACGCAGACGCTGGGAGAATATGCAAACTCTATACAGACAGTTGCTGGAGGGTGGAATCGAACCCAGGACTCTGGTGCTGCAAGGTGACAACATAAGTATTGCCTCATCAGATATAATACCCTGTTGGAGGCAAACTCACACCAGAGCTCCCCCTCTCATCACAGTCTTAATGACAAATATTGGTGTGTGTGGAGGGATTGGGAGGAGAAAATATGCCCTGGGATGTTCCATTCCCCATTGTCTAATAACTTGCTGCACTCAGTGTTGAGGCTGACTTGTGGCAAGATGTTGTATTAACCCTCCTTGGACTTCCGCCTGGTGAAGAGTCAACATCTGCAGCAGAGGAGGGTTGTAAACTAACGAGAAATTAAAACTTCAAAAGCGCTTCTGAGCTTATTCTGTTTTTATTGTTACAGCTTTAAACTGGAATAAATTCACCATTTTAGGCCACAGCATGGGTAAGTGAACGACCTCCCTGATTAATCAAACATTGACATTACCATGTGAAATGTACAAAATCCAGACCAAATGTCGTCTTCGTGTAAAATGTGCTTCAAGACCAAGTGATAACTAGCATTAAAAGTCAAGGTAAGGTCACCATACAGTTACTGGGCCATGGGACTCCTATCCATTAAAGCAAGATGACTGGGGGTAGTTTAACCGGAGGGTCACCACACCTCAGGTGAGGGGAGAGGGTGAGAAGGAGCACCCTTTATAGTAACCTCAGCCAGTGTGGAAATTTTAACTGGCTCTATTGGCATCATCCTGTATCCCTCAAACCTCAACTGAGCTTACCAACCCCCATAACCAGCAGCAGTACATACATATCGGTGAGTCAAAATATTGCAGGTTCGAGTCTCACTGCAGACACTCATAGAATCCCTACAATGTTAAAGCAGGCCATTCAGCCCATCACGGCCATACTGCCCCTCCAAAGATCATCCCACTCAAGCACATAATCCAAGCTGCCATTTCCACTGCAGCACTGAGGGAATGCCACACTGTCAAAGGCGCTTAGTTTTCAATAAGACATTTAAACCAAAGCCCACCTGCGTCTTGAGGTCAGCACGAACGATCCCAAAGCACCACTTTGTGAAAGAGCAGGGGAAATTGACCCCGGTCTCCTCACTGATTATTACCCATTAACTAGTGTTTTAAAAACAGATTCTGTTGTAATTATCACATGTCAGCTTGTGGGAATCAGCCTGTGCATTGTTTAATTAATCTATTACAATAGAAATTGCAATTAAATTATTAACTGGCTCTGAAACACTTTGACAGATCCCAAACTCGTGACAGGCGCTATATAAATGCAAGTGTTTCTTTAAGCTCAGGCTTTTATTCACTGTGAAGGTCAGTTGTCATTATTCCAAAATTCTGTTGGCATCGGAGAGTTGGGACTATTAATGCCTTGCTCTGTTCCCTCCCACTCTGCCTCACTGCTCCTGTGGAGAAAAACGAACCTACCCATTATATAGCAGTTCTCACAACTCCAGGGTACCCGCAAACATGTCACTGTATAGAAATTTCCTTAAAATGGGCTCGGTGTTGCTCTTTGGGCAAATGTGGCCAGTTTGTGCACAGCAAGATCCCACAGACCGCAAGCGATCTGTCAAAGGAGTGTACCATTGTAATGGTACCATGGGATATATCCGTTAGGATTTAGCAAAATCAGAGGCAATCCTATTGAAACATACAAGATCCTGAGGGGAGGTGGCGGTGTGGATCCTGAGAAGATGTTTCCCTTGTGACAGAGGCTGGAACTTGGGAATGTCGTTTAAAAACAAAGGATCTCCTGTTCAATATGGGATCAGATGAGAATGGATTTTTTAGAATGTCATGAATTTGTGGAATTCTCTTCCACAGAGAGTGGTGGAGGCAGGCCCCTTAAATATATCTAAGGCAGAGATAAGTAGATTCTTGACTAACAAGGGAGTCAGTGATTATTGGGAGTAGATGAGAATGTGGAGTTGAGGTCACAATCAGATCAGCTGTGATTTTAGCGAATGGAGGACCAAGCCTGAGTCCTAATAGCTTACGTAGAAAGACTGGCAGATTGTATCAAGCAGCATGTCCCATCATCTGTTCGTAACAAGGAAAATATCCACCCATACTTGCAAACCTATAAACATGTGGTCCAACATTAGTTGTGATTCCACATCTGCTAAATAATCCTGAGTGCACTAAGAATTACACTGACCACTAAATTTAAGATGATTAGTCAGGATCGTAATGTGGTGCACTTGTACTTACTAGAAGCTACGCATATTAATGCACAAGGCCCAGTTCTTTGCAACTAGAAGAATTAGAATTAGATTTATTGTCACGTCCAAGCACTGCATCTTTTTGAACTCAACAGAACTGGTGATGTCCATTCTCTTGTTCCTTTCTCAGGAAAATGCCTTGACAGATCAGAGTCAATCTGCCTGGTTTAAAGCTTTTCAGTTAACTGTCAATCATCAGCTGCCTGGTGAATTGTCCACTTCAACAAATCAGCACGCTTTTCTCAATTTGTATAAAAATGTTGTTCTGTTTTATGTTTGTATTTCTTGTAAATGGTCCTGATGAGAGCAAGATGAAAAGCTTCAGTAATGCTCAAGTTGTGTGCAACTAAAAGGCTGTCCATATCTGTGTGTTGTCAAGGGGTTAATGTTCATCAGGCTGTTGACAAAACTCCCTGCTCATCTTCCAACGTGGAGTGAGATAATTTACATCTGCTTTATTAGGCAGAAAGGTTTACCTCCTCAACCATAACAAAGCCAAACGGTGGTAGAGAGGCTGCAGGATGACTCTGTAATTGCCTGGGGTGAGACAAATAGTCTAGAGTTATCTGGTCTCTGCCAGGGTATCAGTCAAGACACTTACAGCTGCCTGCAACAGGCTAGATTAAAAACCAATGATGCCAGCTGCAAAAATACATGAGTATGAACAATTTATATAAATCAATCCAGGCATCTCGAAGAGAGAAGGCTGAGGGGGAGCAATGACAAGATTGAGGTATTTAGGATTATGGAGTAGAAGTAGAGATCTTTCCATTTGCTGGAAAGAGGAGAAAGAGCCTAAGTACAAGGTAGACACCAAAGATTCAACAGGGAATTCAGCAGAAACCTCTTCACGCAGTGAATGAGAGAATGTGGAAATGGCTCCCACAGGGAGCACTTGAGGCCAGTATTGTAGCTGCATTTAAGAGGAAACTAGATTAACATATAAGGGAGAAAGGAGTAGGCGTATACCCCAATGGGCTGGATGAGGAGGGGTGAGGAGACGGGATTTGCATGGAGTATAAACACCATCGTTAACCAGAGGGACCAAATGAACTGTTTCTAATGCTGTAAATCTCAAACAATTGTCTCTCCAATATTAACGTTCTCCATGGTTCTTTTTCAGGGGGTAATGTTGGAGGCTTGGTAAGTAGTTACATAATAACTATTTTAACTTAAGCTACAGATTCCAAAGCCATGACTTAATTCTTTTCTTTCAAAAATACATTTTATTCATAAAAATATCTTTATGTATATACACAGTCACTAAAGCAGTTCGGTTCTCTACGGTAGCATATGAAGAAACAAACAAATGTTGGAATTTGACTCTATCTATCTAACAAACAAACCAAAGGCATTTCTTACTTGTACAAGACTATGTTTACATTCATTTGAGGCATGAGGAGGGTCTGATAACTGAACAGACCCCCATTTACCTTTAGCAGAAAGATCTTGACAGTGGTCTTTCCCCATTGCCCCTTGGCGGCAGCTGCCCCAAGCTTTAGTGCGTCCCTCAGCACATGGTCCTGGACCTTGGAATGTGCTAGTCTGTAACACTCGGTCGAGGTCAACTCCTTGCTCTGGAAGACCAACAAGTTTCAGACAGACCAAAGAGTGTCTTTCACTGAGTTGATGGTCCTCCAGGCGCAGTCAATGTTTGTGTCAGTGTGCGTCCTTGGCAGCAGACTAGAGCACAGAGTCTTGCAACGAACCTCGGCAAAAATCACTGCACCTCTCTCCAGGCTTCCTTTGCAAAGGCACATTCCAGCAGGAGATGTGTGTCAGTTTTTATCTTCCATGATTTAATCTTGTAATTGTCCTTTTGTTGCTGGCACTGACACCCTTCACTTTCACAGGCCTCCCCATGGAGTGCCATTCATGGGGAATTTCAGTAGTGTTGAGAGAATGGTAATTAGGGAATCTCAGTGGTGTTAATGTGCCCTGTTGGGTTCATGGGTTGAGCTTTGCCCCAGCATTCCCTCCAAGTGTTAAAACTGTGTGACTCCTATTAAGATTGCCTGCAAGGCTGGGAATGAATCAGATCTGAAAGAGCAAGTGCATCTCTTTAATCATTTACAGAACAATCTACTTGAGGCAAGGCAGTTGACAAAATGAGTATTGTCGAAGATTTAGAGGGATATGGATCAAATGCAGGCAAATAAGACTATTAAGTTTGGGACACTTGGTCGGCATGGACGAGTTGGACCAAAGGGTGTGTCAACCTTCTTAACCTTCACTGCTTTAAGGAGAAATATTCTAGTCTCTTCATGTAACTGGAAGTGTTGACAAAAATAATTTATCAAAGATTGTGATGCAGGAAGCAAACCGTGTGTCAACAGACTCTCTGGATAGTGCAAGCAAGGTCATTGATTTAACAATGGGACTAACAGCCTGTGTAGTAGAGGCTATTTCAACTTGTGGATAAAGTGGGACAGGCAAACCTAGCCTTGCATTAAAAACTCCTTGACATATGTTTGGGCTAGAGATTTGCTTAGACTGTTTGGTGCTCCCTAATAAATTCTGTCAGTACAGAGCAAAGTGTAGCAACAGCAGCTAATGATAGGAAGCTGATCCTGACACTACAACAGGCAATGTGAACACTGAGCTTTTCTAGAGTTTACATCACAGAGTGATACAGAAGGAGGCCATTCAATCAGTCATTTCTGTGTTTGCTGTTGGTGGCAGAGCTAACCGATTAGTCCCATTCGCCTGCCCTTTCCCCAGACCCCAACAGATCCTCCCCTTTCCAGGATCAATCCAATTCACTTTTGAAAGTTCCTTTTGAATTTGCTGCACAGTCCCCTCAGGCAGCAGGTTCCAGATTACAACAACTCACTCTGATTTTCTTTTAAATAATGTTTTTCTTTTCTCAATCACTTTAGCTTCTTTTTCTTCAGTTACTGACTTTTCCCACTAGAGGGAACAGTTTCTCCTTATTCACTCTTCAGAACCCTTCATGTTCTTAAACCCAATTTTATTTTATCAAGCCTCCTTCTTAACCTTCATTGCTTTAAGGAGAAATATTCTAGCCTCTTCGTCTTGACAAAAATCATTTATCAAAGATTGTGATGTAGGAAGCAAATGAAACGTGACCGCAAGTGAGAGTTTTAATATATTGATGATAATGTGTACTTTATCTCTATTTGCATAATAGTATACATGTACACAATATTTTTAATAACGAAACTCCTCTCTGACTGGTGAACCTCTGCTGCTTTTTATAGTTTTGCTCAATATTCCCAGAGTTGGTGGATAAGCTGATTGTGCTGGATGGATATGGCTTTTATCCAATTGCAAGTGTAAGTTTTATTAAATTTTGAAAAATAAATATACATGCAGGGTGACAGCAAGCTGGTACCTATGGCTAGCTGAGAGTACTAAAGACTTGGCTTCCTGACTAGGTCAAGTCAATGTTGTCTGGACTAGGAACATTGCTTATTGATTTCCCTTCCCTAAGCAATGGACTCAGCTGAGCACTATGGGGGAAGTTCATAACAATTCCTAGATATTGCTATTGGAGTTCTGAGCTATGAAATAACCAGATATGGCCGCCTCGCTGAATTCTGTGGCTGTTGGTCTTGGAGCTGAGAGTATGATGTGTATATAGGGCATAAGACTTGGGAACAGGAGTAGGCCATTCAGCCCTTTGGGTCTGCCCCATCATGCAACAAGATCAAGGTAATCCAATTGTGGCCTTGACTCCACATTTCTGTGTACCCCATAAAACCATAAGATATAGAAGCAGAATTAGGCAATTTGGCCCACTGAGTCTGCCCCACCATTCAAACATGGCTGATATGTTTCTCATTCTGCAAGCTTCTCCCCTGGAACCCTTGATCCCCTCACAAGTCAAGAACCTGACTGTCTGTGTCTTGAATACACTTGATGACTTGGCCTCCACAGCCTTCTGTGGCAATGAGTTGTACAAATTCACCACCTTCTAGCTGAAGACAATTCCTTCTCATTTCAGATCTAAAGGGTCGTCCCTTCACTGTAAGACTGTGACTTTGGGTCTCTCTTACTAGTGGAAACATCTTCTCCACGTCCACTCTGTCCAGGCTTCTCAGTATTCTGTAAGTTTCAATCAGATCCTTCCCTCGTCTTTCTAAACGCTATTGAGTACAGATCCAGAGTCCTCACCCCTCCTCTTATGACAAGCTCTTAACTCCCTTGACTGTTTAACTCTGCCTTGGCTAAATTCATTGAGCCAGCCTTCATCGCTTTCTGAGAAAGAAAATTCCACAGATTCACAACTTTGAGAAAAACATCCCTCTCATCTTGGTCTTACAAGCGATGCCTCATCTCCTTGAACTCTTCCTGAGCTCTAGCCTCTCCCACAAGGGGAAATATGCTCTCAGCACCCACCCTAACAAATTCTGTCAGGATCTTATATGTTTCAATATGATCACCTCGCATTCTTTGGAGCTCCAATTAGTACAGACCCATACCATCCATCAGATAACCCCTTCATCCCAGCAATGAGTCAAGTGAACCTTATTTGAATTGATTCAAATGCACGTACATCCCTCTTAAAGAGACTAATTGTACTCTATACGTTGTACTCCAGATGTGGTCTCACCAAGGCCCTGCATGGCTGCAGTAAAACTTCCCCACCTTTAATGTCCATTTCTCTTGCATTCAGTGCCACTTTTTTAGAAGGAGCAGAGAGCTAATGTTTTTTTCAATTTCAGGGTGACTGTGCTGAACTGAAGTATTTTGTTTTAATGCTTTTAATTGCAGAGTGCTGTCCAGCAACAACTTCAGACAGCGATCAATGAGCTTATAAAGCTGGAGAAGGAGCAGGGTTCACCCCGAGTGTATACACCTGATGGAGCGCTAAAGAGGTTGGTACAAACTCTGCGGGTGGGATTGAGACTGGATCAGATTGAAATCTGGTACAGCATGCTGTCCTAGTGAGCGAGGATGTGCACTCATGTATCGTGCCTTCCACACCATTGGGGCATGCCAAATTTCCAAGAACCTGACATTATTTCTGAAAAGCAATCACTATTGCACTGCAGGCCGCTTACAGCAGCCAATTTACACACAGTCAGATTCCACCAACAACTGCTGAAGCAATAACAGTATTGCAGATGGTGGAAATCTGAAATAAAAACAGTGTTGGAGAAACTCAGCAGGTTTTCAGCATCTGTGGAAAGAGAAAAACAGTTTTGAGTCCGATATGCACTTTTTTAGAACTGTAATTATTATAACTGTATTAATTATTTTTTGTGGGTTTAATAGGACAGGAAAATATATTCACACTCCACCCACCAGCAGAATAATATCCAGATAGAACTAGCACAGCGATCTTGTCCTTTTAAATGACATGTTCTCGTGTTTAAATCTTGTTTCTTCAGGAAGTTCAGATTTGTTGGCACAAGCAGATTCACCAGTGCGGTGCATTCCAGACTGAAACAGCACAGAGTTTGAGTTGATACAGCACGGAAAGAGGCCACTCAGCCCATTGCGTCTGCACCAGCTCTCTGAGTCAGACACCTACTGCCATTCTCCTCACATTCTCCCTATAACCCTGCATGTTGTTCCTTCTCAGCTTCAATTGCTGTGTGAAAACAAACTTCCCCTCATCTCACCACTGTTCCTTTCACCAGTAACCATAAATTTGCATCCTCTGGTCACTCACGTCTGCCGGTGGGAACAGTTCCTCTTTATTCACTCAATTGATACCCTTCACAATTTTGAATCCCTACATTAAATATTCCTTTTTTTTGTCTTCACTTCAAGAAGGACTATGTAAACTTGTTTCTAACTAAATCCTTGTACCCATCCTAGTGAGTCTCTTCTGCACTTGCTGTTGTCGCTAGCCATGACTTCTGACCTGGGGGCATTCTCTGCTGGTTTGTCAATTGCCTGAGGGTGCACAGAGCCTGGGACAGGGTAGCACGTCTGGACCCAATTAACTGGGGCTTGGGCTCCGGGGGAAACCCGTTGTGGTTGGTTCGGGGGTGAGGACACCGTATTCACGTCGAAGGGCAGGACTTCAATGCTCAGGTCAACGGGCAGAGTCTCGAACTGAGGTTGGGAGGTTGAGACCAGGAGTCCAAGCCAGGAGTAGTACCATAGCCTATGATTTCTGTCCCAGCCCCAGTTGTGTGGTGCAGCAGGCCATCTCTCAGAGGCAACACAGGGCTCTCTAGGCAACCACAACCCCTTTTGCCTCTATGGTTCTGGCCAAGAAAGACAGAAGGTGCTGGGGCAAGTGAAAAAGGGACTGTAAGATTCCAAAATCCAGTTTAACTTTGATTGTAAGACTTGGGGTCTGACTAGTATGAGACCACTATGGGTACAAGTGTGTTTACACAAAGTCCACCAATTTATTTAAGTTATCAAAATGAATACCAATCCTCAGTTGCCTGCATACACATACCTAATCAATAAGCCTCATTAACCCTTTCCAAACCACTTTGATTATTTACATCATTACGTTCTGATTGGCTGTGCTGAGGAGAGGCTCATTTCTAATTAATTTAAAAGACCCATGATCAATTTCTAATTGGCTCTTAAGGGCAATGGATATGTTCACTTCCCACTATTTCCTGATTGGTTCTAGAAGATGTAATTATCAATTTGCCTCATTCTGTTTATTATGATTTCTCATTATTACTTTAATGACTCTTTGCTAAGAAACAAGGATAGTTTATAATATTTTCTTTACCCATTTGTTTAGGAAAGATTTAGGAAGGGGAAATGTTGATATTTTTAATCAACCTGACCAGAGAAGTTTTAACAGTCCTCTGGGTCAGGTGGGACTTGAACCCAGTCCTCCTGGCTTAAAGGGAGGAACATTGCCAACGCATCAGCAGAAGATAACTAGAAAAGCAGTAAGGTGGGAGAAGATGTAATATGAAAGGAGATTGCTAAGAGGTTTTTTTTTTAGATATCTTAAAAAAAAAAAAAAAAAAAAAAAAAAAAAGACCGGCAAGAATAGACATTGGACTGTTGGAAGAAGAGGCTGGAGAAGTAGTACCTGGCAACAAAGAAATGGCAGAGGAACTGAATAGGTACTTGGCATCAGTTTTCACAGTGGAAGACACCAGCAACATACCAGAACTTCGAGAGTCGGGGGCAGAAGTGACTGTAATGGCCATCACTAAGGAGAATTTGCAGGGGAAGCTGAAAGGTATTGAGGTGGATAAATCACCCAGACCAAGTGGACTACACCCCAGGGTTCTGAAGGAGATACCTGAGGAGATTGTAAAAGCATTGATGGTGATCTTTCTGGAATCACTGGAGTTAGGGACAGTCCCAGAGGACTGGAAAATAGCTAATGTAACACCCCTGTTTAAGAAGGGGAGGAGGCAGAAGAAGGGAAACCATAGGTCAGTTAACCTGACCTCAGTCTTTGGTAAGATCTTAGAGTCCATCATTAAGGATGAGATGGTGGAGTACTTGTAAGTGCATGGTAAAATAGGGCTAAGTCAGCACTGCTTCATCAAGGGGAGGTCATACCTGACAAAATTCTTAGAATTCTTCAAAGAGCTAACGAGCAGGTTAGACAATGCAGAGCGTTTCCAGAAGACTTTGACAAGGTACTACACAGGGGGTTGCTAAATGAGTTAAGATGGTGTTAGGGGCAAGGTACTGGCATGGATAGAGCATTGGCTGACTGGTAGACGGCAAAGAGTAGAGATAAAGGGGTCTTTTTCAGGATGGCAGCCAGTGTGGAGTGGAGTTCCGCAGGAATCCGTGTTGGAATCACAACTATTCACTAACGATCTGGATGAAGGAACTGAGGGCATTGTTACTAAGCTTACAGATGGCACAATGATAGGCGGAGTGTCAGTTAGTGTTGAGGAAGCAGGAGGCTGCAGAAGGACTTGGACAGGGTAGGAGATTGGGCAAGGAAGTGGCAGGTGGAATACAATGTGGGAAAGTGTGAGGTTTTGCACTTTGAAAGGATGAATAGAGGCATAGACTATTTTCTAAAAAGGAAAAAGCTTCAGAAATATGAAGCACAAAGGGATTTGGGAGTCCTGGTTCAGGATTCTCTTAAGGTTAACATGCAGGTTCAGTTGCTAGTTAAGGAGCAAATGCAATGTTAGCATTCTTTTCAAGAGGGTTAGAATACAAGAGCAGAAATGTACTGCTGAGGCTGTACAAGACTCTGGTCAATCCGTATTTGGAATATTGTCAGCAGTTTTGGGCCCTTTTTCTAAGGAAGGATGTGCTGACATTGGATTGTGTCCAAGGAGGTTTATAAGAATGATTCTGGGGATGACGGGCTTTGCGGTCTGTACTCAATGGATGGAGTTTAGAAGGATGAGGGAAATCTGATTGAAACTTACAGAATACTGAGAGGCCTGGATCAAGTGGACGTGGAGAAGATGTTTCCACTCGGAGGAGAGACTAGGATCCAAAGGCACAGCCTCTGAGTGAAGAGACGACTCTTTAGAACTGAGATGAGGAGGAATTTCTTCAGCCAGAGGGTGGTTAATCTGTGGAACACGCTGCCGCTGAAGGCTGTAGAGGCCCAATCACTGAGTATATTTACATTAGAGATAGATAAGTTCTTGATTGGTAGGAGATCAAAGGTTACAGGGCGAAGGTTAAGGAGAAAACAAAAACAGAAATTCCTGGAGAAACTCAGCTGGTCTGGCAGCAACTGTGGAGAGAAAGCAGAGAATAATGAGAATTAGATTCAACGTTAACTCTGCTGTCTCCCTACAGATGTTGCCAGGCTTAGAGTCTCCAACAATTTCTGTTTTTGTTTCAGATTTCCAGCATCTGCAGTTTATATCTTATTTCTCTGAAAATGATAATGAGCTAAAGTGGGGCCTATTGTCTCTAAAACATTTGAGTATTAACTTCACTTTTTGTTCACAGTCCCAGGGTGCACTGCTTTGCCAAATGAGGCTAAACAGTGTCACATGATGTTAAAGTATTAAAATCTACACTAGTTACAGCAGAGCAAAATAATGTAATGTTAGATTAATCAATGAAGATACTTTGTGTGATTATAACTAAACTAAATTAATTGTGAAATGTCAATTTATCTGTTAATGCTACAGAGAATGGTGGAAAGGAGAATAAAAGAAAGCTCCATGATCAGATGGAGGACGAGGAGAGTTTAAATGATGAGCTTCTAAAGTTAAACACCCCCCTGCCCCTTCATAAAGTTAAATACATCCCCTCTACCCCTTCCATTGTTCACAGGTTCTGTCATCAGTTTGGATGAATGGTCATCTGCTCCATGTTAACTCTCTTTGTCTCCACAACAGCTGCTGGACATGCAGAGTTTTTCCAGCATTGTTTTATTTCAAATCCCCAGCATCCACAGTAGTTTCTTGTCGGGTGGAGACTGGCCACGTTTTTATGTCATTCTTTGTTAGTGTTGACAGCGTGTGTTCTGTTGTACCTTGAGATTTCCCTTCAGCTAAACCCTTTCCCTTACCCTTCAGACTGCTGCTGGGAAATAAATCCGTTTCGGAGGAAAGTGGCAAGATTCTGCTTCAGCGGGGAGCCATCAAAGTAGCTGAAGGTACAGTCAGGCTGCAGAATGAGAGTCGTTGATTATAAACTTCTGTTTTATTCCTGAGCTGCCAGACATTTGTGCCATATGTAGTGATAATGGGAATCTTGGAGTCATTATGGTCCTTTCAGCCCATCGAGTCAATGCCGGCCATCAGTAGAGCAATCCAATTGGTCCCATTCTCCTGCTCAATTCCCACAGCCCTGCTGTTGATCTATTGAGATGATAGTGCAAGAAACTTTGCTACGCCTCGCAGAGAAAAACCTTCCATGAAACTCAACAATAATAACACTGAGCTGACATGTACTAAGATTAATTCTGTCCATTACAAGCGTGGGTGCGACTTCAAATTTAAAATGTTACATTTTTGTCCTTGCATTTTTATGCAGTTATTTATTATTTCATTTCAATTTGAGGAGCAGTGATGTAGGAGTAGGTCAGAATATGGAAGTCTTTCTGCACTATTAAGGAGCTGGGAGATATGAAACTGAAGCTAAGCAGCACCACAAATGACAAAGAGGGCTATCTGCAGTGTTACAGTTTTTCACAGCCACTTTTTCATTATCAATGCAGCAAGAATAACTTGAAGGACAATGGAAGGAGATTGCTAGGGCCCTGGAGGAAGTATTTAATACCTTGTTGGCCAAAGGTGAATCTGGAAGGTAGATCATGTGGTTCCTTTGTTCAAGAAGAGTGGCAGGGTAGGCCAGGTAATAACAGACCCAGTTAGTCTGAGGTCAGTGGTGGGGAAATTATTAGAAAATTTCTGAGGGACAAGATTAGTCAACACTTGGAAATTCAGGGATAGTCAGCACAGATTTGTTAGAGAGAGACTGGCTAATTTCATCGTGTTTTTTTTTAAAAGGTAACTGAATATATTGATGAGGGTATTGTACTTGATGTGGTTTACATGGACTTCTGTAAGGCCTTTGACATGGTCCCACGTGAAAGGCTAGTCCAAAAGGTAAGAGTTTTTGGGACCTAAGACAAGCAAACTGGATCCAAAATCAGCTGCAGAAAGGAGGCAAAGGGAAATGATGGAGGATTGTTTTTGTGATTGGAAGCCTGTGGCCAGCAGTGTACCACAGGGATCGGTGCTGGGACCCTTGCTGATTGTATATACATTAATAACTTGGATGTGAATGTAGAAGGAATAATTATAAGTTTGCAGATGACATAAAAATTGGATGTGTTGTTGATAATGAGGAGGATGGTCTTGGACTACAGTCTGATATTGATCACCTGGTAAATTGGGCAGAGCAATGGCAGATGGAATTTAATCCTGAAAAGTATGAAGTGATGCATTTTGGGAGGTCTAAGAAGGGAAGGATTTACACAATGAATGGTAGGTCCCTGGGAAATACTGAGGAACAAAGGGACCTTGGTGTGCAAGTCCGTAGATCCCTCAAGGTGTTAGCACAGGTAGACAGGGTGACGAAGAAGGCATATGGGATACTTGCCTTCATTAGCCGGTGCATGGAATGCAGGAATGAGAAAGTCTTGTTGCAATTTTATAAAACATTGGTTAGGCCACAGATGAAATACTATGTGCAGTTCGGGTCACCACACTATTGGAAGAATGTAATTGCACTGGAGAGGGTGCAGAGGAGATGCATCAGGATATTTCCTGAGATGAAAGTCTCCGTTATGAGGAGAGACTCAGTTCGTTTTCCTTGGAGCAGAGGGGACTGAGGGTGGATCAGATTGAGATATACAAAATTATGAGAGGCATGGGCAGAGTGGAGCATCTTTCCCCATGTCCAAGACCAAAGGCACAAGTTTCGGGTGAGGAGTAAGTAGTTTAGAGGAGATCTGGGTGAAAACATTGTTCCTCAGAGGGCAGCAGAAATATAGCGGTAACCTGGTCCACAACTAGACTCTTATGACTCCTATCAATGATAAAGAAGCCATCAAAAATGCACTTCAGAGACCTCCTCAACCAGGGCTCTCGTTGATCTGAGTCGTCTTAAACGCATCCCCCAACATTCTACACGCCATGAGCTCCCCAATACCCCAGTGTTGCACAAAATAGAAAAGGGCGTCTGCCAGCTTAAGAATCCCAAGGCAGCTGGAACAGAGGGTATTCCTGTTGAGGCATTGAAGTGTGGAGGGAAATAGCTCCTGCTGCAGCTGCTAACCTATGTCTGCCTTATCTGGAAAAAGGCGAGCATCCTGGGAAAGCTCCGAGATGTCACCATCGTGAGGATTTTTGAAAAAGGTAGCAAGTTCAACTGGGGTAACTACAGAGGAATGTCCCTGCTGACAACAGTTGGAAAAGCCATTGCCAAAATCCTCCTCATCCGTCTCCTCCCTGCGGCTGAGGAATTCTTCCTGGATTCACAGTGTGGCTTTCAGCCATGGAGGGGCACAACAGACATGATTTTCACCACAGGACAGCTGCAGGAGACATGCAGAGAAAAGAACCTACCCCTCTACATGGCCATCTGCGACCTTACAACAACTTATGACATCATTGATTCGGAAGCGTTGTGGAGAAACGTCCTTCTCCACTTTGATTGCACCATGAAGTTTGTCACCATCCTTCGCCTGCTCCATGATGACATGGAAGCCATGGTAATTACAAATGGCTCCACTGCTGACCCATTCCCCATTCAGACTGGTGTCAAGCAGGGCTGTGTCATCGCCACAAAACTGTTCTGGATCTACCTCGTTGCAATGCTTCACCTCATCACTAACAAGCTCCTCGCTGGAGTGGAGCTAACGTACAGAACCTGTGGGAAATTATTCACCCTCCGCTGCCTTCAAGTCAAAACCAAAATCCCCCCAGCCAGTGTCATCGAGCTGCAGTTCGTGGATGATGCTTGTGTATGCGCATTATCCAAGGATGTGCTCCAGACCATCGTCAGCACCTTTACAGAAGCATATGAGAGCATGGGTCTCACCCTGAACATCTGCAAGACGAAGGTCCTTCATTAACCTGGCTTGGCATTGTGGAGCAAACCCACGATTGTCAAGGCCAAGGGGAAGCCCTTGGAGAACGTTGACCACTTTCAATACCTCAGAAGTGTACCATCGACCAAAGCAGCTATTGATGAAGAGATCCAGCATTGCCTCCAGTGTGCTAGCACAGCCTTTGGCCACGTGAGGAAAAGGGTGTTTGAGAACAACAACATTAGATCCATGAGACAAAGGAAACTGCGGATGCTGGAATCCAAGGTAGACAAACAGGAGGCTACAAGAACAGTCCTGAAGAAGGATAATAACTGAAATGTTGACTGCTTCTTTCCTCCAGATGCTGCCTGGCTTGCGGTGTTCTTCCAGCCTGCTGTTTGTCAACATCAGATCCAACACCAAGATCATGGTTCCTGTCCTCCTTTTATGGCTCTGAGACGAGGACTGTCTACAGCAGATACCTCAAGGCACTGGAGCAGTACCACCAGCGCTGCCTGTGCAATAGTGATGGTAGAAATATGGAATGCCTGAGAGGGTGGTGGAGACCGGTACTCTCGCAACATTTAAGAAGCATTTGAATGACGATTTAAATTGCCAGGCCACAGGCTATGAAGCAAGTAGCGGTAAATAGGATTAGAATAGTTTGGTGATATTGGTCAGCGTAGACATGGTGGACCGAAGAGCCTGTTTCTGTGCTGCATGACTCTGACATATGAAGTAGGGACAGAAGTAGGTTGTTCAGCCCTTTTGAGCCTGCTGTGCTTTCCAATCAAATCATGGCTGATCTTCTACACCATTTCCCTGCACAATCCATGTATTCCCACAAGTCAGGAGTGTGATGGAATACTCCCCACATTCCCTGATCAGTCCAGCTCCATCAACACTCAAGAAGCTTGACACCAGCCAGGACAAAGCAGCTACTTCATTGGCACCTCATCCATAAACATCCACTCCCTCCAGCACCAGCTCTCAGTAGGAGCAGTGTGTACCATCTACAAGATACAGTAACTTACCAGCACTTTGGAAACCCATCACCACTACCATCTAGAAGGACATGGGCGGCAGATATATGGGAATGCCATCACCTGCAAGTTCCCCTCCAAGCCACTCACTATCCTGACTTGGAAATATATCGCCATTCCTTCAGTGTCACTGGGTAAAAATACTGGAATTCCCTCCCTAAGGGCATTGTGGATCTACCTACAGAACATTGACTGCAGTGGTTCAAGAACACAGCTCACTACCACCTTCTCAAGGGCAACTAGGGACGGATATAAATGCTGGGTCAGCCAGTGACACCAACAATAACATAAACTGTACACAGTACTTTGTAGTTTCACCAAAGATCTATATAATTACAGCAACATATTTTTATTCCTGTATTCAAATCCTCTCACAATAGAGGCCAACATACCATTTGCCTTCTTAATTGTTTACTTAATTGTTACTAAAGCATGAACAAAGATACCCAGCCCTTTGACGTTCAACATTTCCCAAGCTCTCACCCTTTTGCTTTTCTTACGAAAATGGATAACCCCTCATTTCTTCACATTGCATTCTGTCTGCCAAATTTTGCCCCCTCAGGTAGCCTGTCCAAATTCCTTTAAAATGCCCTTCCACCTAGTTATTTGCAAATTTGGAAATTGAAACTTCAATTAAATATATTTCAAGTTATTGACGTAGATTGAGAGTAGCTGGGACCTAAGCACCGATCCTGTATTACAAATACAGCCTGTATTTGTAATGGGAAAAGGTAACAAAGGCAGGGAAAAACGTGACAGTAGAAGATAAATTTTTTAATGTAAGGTTGCACAGACAGATGTAAGATTTCGATCATGGAATTGTTACGGCACAGAAGGAGGCCACGCAGCCTAGACCAGTTCTGAATGTGTAGATATTTTGCATAGTTTATTCTGGAAAATCATGAATATTGAGTAGATTAGATTTTGATTTGATTTATTTTTGTCACACGTACCTAGGTACAGTGAAAAGTTTTGTTTTGCGTGTGGTACAGGCAGATCATACCATACAAAGATCACAGGGTGAAAGAGCGAGGAATAAAGTGTTACGGCTGCAGAGAAGGTGCACCAAAAAGCAAGATCAGCATTAGATTTGAAATTTGAGAGGTCCATTCAAAAGTCTAATAACGGCAGGGAAGAAGCAGTTCTAGAACTTGGTGGTACATGTGTTTAACGCAGCCTGCTCTGTGCCACCCACTGCTCAGGTAATGGGGAGCCAGTGCTGTAGTCTGCTTATGATTTTATTCTTAAATTTCAAAGATATACTTTATTCATAAAAAAATCTTTATATACATAGTTACAAACACATTTTGGTTCTGTATATGGTATGTCAAGGAACAAACAAACATTTGAGTTTGATACTATCCATACAAACCAAAGGCAACTCTCCTTTGTACAAGACTACATTCACATACATTATGAGGCACCGGCAGCATCCGATAATCGAATGGATCCCCGTATAGCTTCAGCAGGAAGACTTCCAACAGTGGTCTTTCCCCACTGTGCGTTGGCAGCAGCTGCTCCAAGCATTGCTGTGTCCCTCAGCACGTAACCCTGGACCCCCTGGAATGTGTCAGTCTGTAACACTCAGTCGGGGTCAGCCGTACAAGACCAACAAGTTTCGGGCAGACCAAAGCGTGTCTTTCACCGAGTTGATGGTCCTTCGCCTCAAACGATGTTTGCCTCAGTGTGTGGCCCAGGGAGCAGCCCAAATAGCACAGTCTTGCAACACTTCAGTGCTTGTGATGTTCTGGAACCTGCCGCTTCTGCTCACTATCACCTCATAGCTCATCTCTAGCCACAGCCTCGCTCTTTACAAAGGTGGTTTAAAAACCAGAAAGAAAAGGGTGATAACTTCACTTGTTAGTTTTGAAGGGATCCCAATTAGACACTTATTTGTTGCCTTCGGCTTTAGGTGAATGTAAAAAGGCCCGCACCCAATGTTCATCACAAAGGGAAACAATAGCACAGTGGTTATGTTCTTGGTCTAGTAATCCAGAGGCCTGCCCTCGGATGGTGAAGATTGAGTTTAAATTCCAGTATTTAAAGGGGGAATGAAATGGTGAAAACATCTGTACTGCTGAGTATGAAATTGCCTGAATGTTGCACAAGCTATTCTGATTCATGAATGACTTGCAGAGGAAGATATTCTGACCCAATCTGTCTATATGACTCCAGGCCCACAGCAGCATGGTTGACTCTTAGCTGCTTTCAGAAGTGGCCTGACAAGCCTGTAAAAAGGATGACTCACTTCTGCCTTCGAGGGCAATTATTGGGTGGCCAATAATGTCTCACGAATGAGTTTCTCCTCAGTCTCCAAGTCCTGCATCAACCATCATCACTGACCTGGTCATTTATCACATTGCTATTTGTGGGATCTTGCTGTACAAAATGGTGTGCCATGTTTCGTACATTACAAGAACTATAATACTTTAGAAGTGTTTCGTGTAAAGACGTGATATCTGAATGCAAGTTCTCACCTTGGAAAACGACTTTGCAGTCCTGAAGGATCTCTACGACGCAATTGTTTTAGACTCTAACAGATTTCTGATAGTGAGACACATGAACATTAACAGGGGCATCTGTTTACGAGCAGAGGGATTGAGAAAGGTACTTTTTTAATGCTTCTGATTGTGTATATATTTTTTTTTAAGGTCTTGTCTTCAGCCGCGATTTGAGAATTAACCTGGTGAGTTTTTCTTTAAATTTTACTGAAGGTGATAGTTGTGACATCCTCCCAGAAAGGTCTAGTGTTAATTTTAAACCTAGGTTCACTTATTCTGTTCATTTCTAAGTACTCTACCAAATCTTTTAATAATCACAAACACCCCAATGAGATCACTCCTTAACCTAATCTGTACCAGCTTATCCTTGCATTGCAATACTTTTCACTTCAGGTCAATCTAATGACTGCACTGCATTCTCTCTTGAGACTTAACAAATGGTGCCCAGATCTGAAGGCATTAGCTCCCGATTTAGGACTAACCAAAACTCTGCACAGGAGTTGTATAACTCCCATCATTTGGTATTCTACACTCCCACTTTGAGAAAAAGGCAAATATTCCATTAACCTTTTGAATGTTGTTTGTGTTCTCTGGATTTGTGACTTTTGTACTTGAACTTTGACACTCTGTATGTGTCTGTCTTTCTCTCTTTCCTGCTCGCGCTCTCTCCCTTCCGCCCCCTCCCTCCTCCAGCACCATTCTCAGCTTCCCACCATTTAGAATATACCCTTATGATTCTGACTTGGATCCAGTTAGAACATCTCAGGTCTCCCCACACTGACTTCGATTAGTTAAGGATGCGGTTGCATTAGAGCCAGTTCAGAGAAAGTTCACTCAGTTAATTCCAGTTTAGGAATGTACTCATTAGAGTTTAGAATTATGAGAGGTGAATAGATTTAAGGTGAGAGGGGAAGGATTTAAAAGGGACCTGAGGGGCAACATTTTCTCTCACAGGGTGGTGCTTGTATGGATTGAAGTGGTAGAGGTGGATATAATTACAATATTTAAAAGACATTTGGACAGGTATGTGGATAGGAACGGATTAGAGGGACATGAACCAAATGCAGGCAAATGGGACTAATTCAGTTTAGGATACCTGTTCGGCATGGATGAGTTGGACCAAAGGGTCTGTTTCCATGCTGTATGACTCTGTTAATAATTGAGATCTATAAGATGCTAAAGGGGACTGATAAAGTAGATGTAGAGTGGACATTTCCACTTGTGGGGCAAACTAGAGCCGGGTGGTCACAGTTTTAAGCTAAGGAATGGCAGATTTAAAACAGATGAGGGGAAATTACTTTTCTGAAGGGTATGAATCTGTGGAATGGATGCTGTGATACTAAATAAATTTAGAGAGGAAACATTTTTTAAATTCATAATGGGTTGAAGGCTTATGGAAAGCGGGCGGGAAAGTGGAGTTGAGGCTGAGATGAGATCTACCATGATTGTACCAAATTGCGGAGTAGGCTCGAGGGGCTGGATTACTTACTCCACCTCCTAGTTCTCATGTTCTTCCACTTTTGACCATCCCTTTGTCTGTCAATGTCACGCTAACTTTCAGTACCCGACTTCGCTCTTTATTGTGAGAGCCAACTAATTCACTGACTCTTCCAGAGGAGGCCATTCAGCCCCTCATGTCCACAATGGCTCCCCAAATGAGCCATTTCACCTGGTGCCACCCTCCTGCCTTCTTCCAGTAAACCTCTATCTTCTTCCTTTTCATTTCACAGTCTCATTATGTTTAAGCTGCATACCACCTACTCTCCCTGTTATTGAATCTGTTACATGGAATCCAATAAAATGCCTCTGAAAGTCCTGAAAGATGAATACAGCCAGGAGTATTGAATGTGATAAGCCCATTAAAAACCACTGCTCACTGGCTCTTTCTCACTCTGATCAGTTCATGTTTCTCCAAGTGCTCAGTCACACTGTCCTTAGTAACAGATTTTTCCAAACAAACTTTAAGCTAACGGGTGTTTAATTTCCTCATTTATCTCTATCTTGAAGAAAAAGAGTGACGGTTGCAGACCTTCCTCTAGGGTCTTCCTCTGACCATTTTTTTTAATTCACTGTGGGACAGGAGCATTTCTGGCTGGACCCAACATTTCTTGCCCGTCCAAAGTTTCCCTTGAGAAGGTGGTGGTAGTGAGCTGACTTCTTGAATCACTGCTGTTCATGTGCTACACAAGATTGGTGGACGAACCTCTCCCAGCTTTGCACTCAACCCTTGTGTACTGGGACCAAGAATTTACTTTGTTGCTTTACCTTAATCTAACTTTCCATGGCAGGCTGCCTAACATCAGGAAGAGGACTGGAGGGAGATAGAGATGGTAGAGAAATGATAATGAGACTGGGCTGCTCGTGCAGAGGCCCAGGCTAATGTTCTAGGGACATAGGTTCAAATCTGCCATGACAAGTGGTGGAATTTGAATCCAACGAATAAATCTGGAATTGAAAACTAGCCTCCGTGATGGTCATCATGACAACCATCATTGATTGATTGTTTTGAAACCCATCAGGCAGGGAATGATGCCGTCCTTACCTGGTCTGGCCTACACGTGACTCCAGACCGACAGCAATGGGGTCAACTCTTAGCTGGCCTCTGAAATGGCCCAGTAAGACACTCAGTTCGAGGGAATTTTGGGATAGATGACAAATTCTTGCCAGCAATGTCCACACATCCAATGGAAGAATAAATTCTAATACCCTGTGATGTTGTGGCAGGCTACTTGTTCCCATCTGTGCTGAGCCACTGTCACTCATACAAAATCCAGGAGAGCTGTGTCCAAGCTGAAGAGCAGACTCCAAGCGAGAAGCAGTCAGACAAAGCACAGGTTAACACCTCCATCTTGTGTTTTTGTTCAATCTCACCAGGCCACTCCTATAAGGATCACCATCGAACAGTGTCTGGAGTTTCAGAAGAATATCACGGCTGCCGTTCTCCTTATTATGTAAGTACCATTTACTTGTTATCGCTTGCCCCCTGTCAACTGTTTTTCCAGATGGCAACCATACTCGTGTATAGCACTTTTGCTTCTGTGAGTCTGAAGGTTGTGGGTTCGCACCCCACTCCAGGGACTTGAACACAGAGTTTAAGCCAACGCTTTCAGTGCTGAGTGCTGCACAAAAAAAAAACATTGAATATAGGAAGAGGAGTAGGCTGTTCAGCCTGTCGAGACTGCTCCGCCTTTCAATAGGACCATGGCTGATCCAACATTCCGCACGTCCACTTTCCTGCCCTTTCCCATAATCCTTGATTCCCTGACTGATCAAGAATCTATCTCAGCCTTAAATATACACGAGGACTGTGCCCCACAGCTTTCTGTGGCAAGGAGTTCCAAAGACACTCAACCCTCTGAGAGAAGAAATTTCTCCTCTTCTCAGTCTTAAATTGGTACCCCTTTTTTTTGTGCCCTCTGGTCCTAGACTCTCCCTTAAGAGTACTATATGTATGAGATCAGCCCTCATTCTTCCAAACACCAATGAGTAGAGTCCCAACCTGTTTAATGTTTGTTCATAAGACAGTCATTCCATTCCAAGCATCATCCACGTGAACTATCTCTAAACTGTCTCCAATGAAATAATATCTTTCTTTAAGTAACCGGACCAAAACTGCTCACAATACTCCAGAAGTGGTCTCATCAGGACCTTATACAGTTACAATAAGACTTCCCTACTCTTCTACTCCAACCCCCATGAATAAGGGCCAACATTCCATCAGCCTTTCTGATTAACTGCTGCTGCTCTGTGCTAGCTTTCTGTGTTTCATGCACAAGTAACCCCATGTTCCTTTGTGTTGCATCTTTCTGCAGTTTTTCTCCATTTAAATAATATTCTGTTCTTTTGTTCTCCCTTCCTAAATGAACAACTTTTCATTTTCCCACATGATACTCCATTTGCCAACTTTTTGCCCATTTACTTAACCTATAAATATCTAAACTCCAGAGTAATTCACTTCCTGATTGCCCACAGCCAGTCCACCATCTACAAGGAACAAGTCGGGACTGTGATGGAATTTTGTCCAATTGCCTGGATGGGTGCAGCTCTAACCAGACTCAAAACTCAACACTATCCAAGAGAAAGCAGCCCCGCTTGATTGGCACCCTACCTAACACCTCCAAAATTCACTGTCTCCCCCAGTGAAGTATAAGGCAGTAATGTGTTTCATCTACAAGGTGCACTGCGGAAATTCACCAACGCTCCTAAGACAGCATCTTCCAAATCCATAACCGCTTTGATCCAGAAGGACAAAGGCAGCAAATACATAGGAATACCACTACCTCCAGGTTCCCCTCCACGCCACTCACCAAAAATATAAGCAGAGAATGTGGGAGAAAATCAGCTGGTTTGGCAACATCCATGGGGAGAAAAACAGTGTTAATGCTTCGAGTCTGGTATGACTCTTCTTTGGAACTGGTCCCTCACTGCCCTGACTGGAAATATATTGCTGTTCCTTTGTTGCCGCTGGGTCAAAATCCTGGAACCCCCCCCCCACCGCCTTGACAGTGCGGTGGGTGGACTGCTGCAGTTCAAGAAGGTAGCTCACCATCACCTTCTGAAGGGCAAGTAGAGGTGAACAGTAAATGGACAGCAATGCCTACATCACATGAATAAATAAAAACAATCAGGACCAGAGACCCAATTTATTCAACATCTCATCATAGAACTAGCCCCCTCATTCCAGGGATCAATCTAGTGAACCTTTTGTGGTACCATCTCCACATTTGCTCTCTCGGATGGAATGTAAAAGCTCCCGTGGCACTGTTTTGAAGAACAGCAGGAGAGATCCCCCTATGTCCTGGCCAGTCTTTCAGCCAATGCCATTAAAGGTAGAATATCTGATCATTATCATGTTGCAGGTTGTGGGAGCTCACTCTACAGAATTTGGTGCATGTTTCTACACTGCAAAAAGCTAACCCTTCAAAATTGCTTTATAATGCACTGGCTGTAATAGGTTAAATAGAAATGTAGATTATTTTTTGTGTGTGATTGTTATCAAGGCAGATTGACTGGGAGACGGGGCATGAGGGGAAGATTCCAGATTCTAGTCAAAGATGGACAATCCTCTGAAAACTTCACCTCTGGAAAGTTGATGTTAAATGAGTGGGGAATGAGGTGAGGTGAACCAAAGTAAACAGTGCCAGGTTTTTAGTTTAATATTTTGTAGTTTGCATGAGGAAGGAACAGGTGAGAGAAGTTGCTCAAGTTTTGTAAAGTGTTTCAGTTGGAGATGACACTAAATGCAACCTGACATCAAAGGGTTTTGGGACCTGGCCAAGGAGATAGAAGCAGAAGAGCCTGGGATTACTGTTCCCAACCTCTAGTGAAGCACTTGGTCTGAACTCTGCACCATTACCCAATGAGCATGAGTATAAAAGTAGGAAGGTTTTGCGTAAAACTGTACAAGGCAATAGTCAGATCACAGCTGGAATACTGTGAACAGTTTGGGCCTCTTTTTGAAGGGGAATAGACTGACATTGGGGACAGTTCAGAAAAGGTCCACTAGGCTGATATCACGCATCTTTTGGAAAGAGGGTGAGTAGGTTGGACTTGTCCTCATTGAAGTTTAGAAGAATGAGAAGTGACCTAACACACACAACTCTTAAGGACTTGACAGGGTCAATGCAAAGGGGTTGTTTCCCCAAGAGTCGTAGATGTTTATAGCATGGAAACAAGCACTTTGGCCCAATTTGACAATCTGCCCCATTTTCGCAATTAATCTAGTCCCATTTGCCTGCGTTTGGTCCATATCCCTCTCTACCTATCCCATCCATGTACCTGTCTAAGCATTTCTTAAATGACAAAATTGTACTCAACTCCATCACTACCTCTGGCGGCCCACTCGAGACACTCACCACCCTCTGTGGAAAAAAATGCCCTCTGGACCTTCTTGTATCTCTCCCCTCTCACCTTAAACCTATGCCTTGTAGCTTTAGACTCTCCTATCAGCGGGGAGAAGCTGTTGGGTATCTTGTGGGAGAGTCTAGGACCTGAGGGCAACATCTCAGAGTAAAGGGTTACACATTTAAGACAGATGAGGAGGAATTTCTTCTCTCAGAACGTAGGGAATCTGTGGAATTCCCTATGGAAGATTATCGAGGCTGAGTCAGGAGGATATTCAAAGCTGAGAGAGACAGATTTTTAATCAGGAAGGGAATCCAAGATTATGGGGTAAAGGCAGGAAAGTGGAGTTGAGGATCATCAATTCAGCCACGATCTCATTGAAGGTGGAGAAGCCTTGATAGATTGAATGGGCTCCTGCTCCAGTGTCTTAGCATTGTTTGTGGAATTAGGTGAAACCACTACCTTTTAAAGGGCCAGGGTCACACTAGATCAGCAACACAGTGAGCTCAATCAATGATAGTGAAGAGGTAGTAGGAACTGCAGATGCTGGAGAATCTGAGACAACAAAGGTACAGAACTGGATGAACACAGCAGGCCAAGCAGCATCCGAGGAGCAGCCTTCCTGCTCCTATGATGCTGCTTGGCCTGCTGTGTTCATCCAGCTCTGCACCTTTGTTGTCAATGATAGTAAACGTTGGATTGGGTCAGGGTTAAATTTATATTGATCAGAGCTCCTTTTCCCTTTCACACAGCTCTGTCGATATATTCACCTCGGGCTGTGCGACAGCGCTGAGACCAGAAACACCCCAGATTCAACTCCTGCTCCATGTTGGCTTTGCCAGTTAAGCACCACAGCTGTGTTCAGCACAGTTAGTTTCAATGGACCTGAGAGGGGACCCAAAAAATCCTTTGTGGACTTCCCATTCCTAAACCCTTTCTTCCTGGGATGTGCTTGTGTGTCAATCTGATCGTGGTGAGCTGGTCCCCAGTCTGGTTGGGCTGGTCTCACATATGGGGAGTGGCAACAGGGGGTCTAGTAGTGTAGGTGGAGGCTGCATAGAACTGGACCCCAGCTGATTTACCATCATGGGAAGAGTGACCTCAATTTTTGCCCCTCAGTCATCATGTCTACAATTCCCTCTGCCCTCCACTGAAACTCCAAGACCTGCTGGTCAGACACTGTCACTCCCCACTGCCAATGTCCAGGATGATGTGGAGACTGATCTGTTGATCCATGTGGAGGATAATTCCAGGGCAACAGGAGTGGAGCTCCCAGTGACCCATGTTTGCTTTTACCTTTTTAGTGCTAAGGATGGACTGTGGTCAACAGAAAAATGGAACACGAACAAGCCGCCGTTTAGTCTCATACTGGACGGATACCGGAATCATCTGAAGGAGGTAACACATCTTTGTCCAGGCCCATAAGAAACAAGGGTTTCCATCAGGGCACCTCCAAACTAAGACACAGTCCAGCAACACTCTGATCTTCACACAGCGCAGCTCATGCCAGGCCTGACATTTGTTGCACATCTTTCGACCGTGTTAGTTTTCTGCTTTTCCATTTTTGGTTAAATCACAGACTTTACGGCAGAAATGCTGCAAGTAGGGCAAGTGTACAAGTTACTGGGACGCAGTCTTCAGACTGTGCACAGGAATGTCAGGGGCTGTTGCTCTGTCCTCATTGCAATGCACTGTTAGCTGTTTTGCTGTTGGACTCCAGAAGTGAGACCCTTTCTCACAGGGTCTGATTTCTGTGCACAAATACATTGTGGTTAAATGCAAATCACCCCAAACTCCTCTGTGAACTCCCACCAACACAATTCCTGATATCAAACACATAGTGTTATCAACACCTTTCAAAGCCACTCCTTGATAAAGCATTGTCTCTGTTCTCTCTCCGCACTGCTCAAGGTGATGGTCTCTCTCTGTTCCCCTGTATGGCCATCTCTCAATTTGGACATCTCACTGAGGTGTGGGTTTTCTCAGTGTCACTGTAATCTTGACTGTTCAAGGTTTTGGACAAATTGTTTTGTAAGCAGCTTTGGGATCATCCTTGTTAACTTCATCTTTTTAGAGGAGAGGGCAGGTTTAACTTGACCATTTTGTTTCTTTAGCCTTGATTCCTTGTCATCTTGCCTTTACAAGCAAGTACTTCTTATGTATTAAGATACCAGACCTAAATTAAAGTGGTTTATCTGTTAAAAATACCTAATTAAACATACACAGTTAGTACTAATGTGCGTAAGTTACATTTCACATCCATTAGGGGGGCAAGAACCTTTTTAATTTAAAAAGTTGAAAATTCCAAGTTCTGGCTTTTTCCATGCCAGCCTCTTCATTGTATGAGCCCAATATGTCATCACACTTTGAATTTTGATGAAAATGATCTGAGCTTAAATCGGATACAGCAGGATATTGTCAAGAACAGAATACTGAAAGTCACTGATCTCTGGGAGTGGCACTTCCTTATCGTTAACCCTTTGGGTTCCATTGACCAAATTTTTTTGGTCCTTTCCTGACCAGTCACTTCTACCGATGGTCAAATTCAGATTTACAAGGATGTTGCCACACTTGAAGGGTTTGAGCTATAGGGAGAGATTGAATAGGCTGGGATTATTTTCCCTGGAGCGTTGGAGGCTGAGGGGTAACTTATAGAGGTTTATAAAATCATAAAGTGCATGGATAGAGTGAATAGCCAAGGTCTTTTTCCCTGGGTGGGGGAGTCCAAAACTAGAGGGCATAGATTTAAGGTGAGAGGGGAAAGATTTAAAAGGGACCTAAGGGTCAACTTTTCCTCGCAGAGGATGGTGTGTGTATGGAATGAATCGCCAGAAGAAGTGGTGGAGGCTAGTACTATTATAATATTTAAAAGGCATTTGGGTGGGCACATGAATAGGAAGGGTTAGAAGGCTATGGGCCAAATGCTGTCAATTGGGACTAGATTAATTTAGGATATCTGGTTTGCATGGACGAGTTGAACTGAAGGGTCTGTTTCTGTGCTGTAGAACTCTATAGTACAGCACAGAAAGGCCATTCAGCCTGTCAAATGTTTCCCAGTTCAACTGTAGCCTCTTTCCGTGTTTCTGTGTAACACTCTTTCATCTTTTCTCCCAATAATCCAGTATCCAAATCTGCTGTCCTCACCTACTAGTTCCTTGCTCTTCCTTCTCCGTAGTTCCGAATGGAGAAAGTAGAGGGAAGTCACCACGTCCATTTGAATGATCCAGAACGGGTCGTGGGAATCATCACCAAGTTTCTCCAGATGGACGCCAAATCCAAACTATGAGGGTAGAAAGTGGGCAGCCTGTGCCTGGCCCATCTTGGAGGGGAAGCACCTTCCCAGGACAGAAGAAGGCTGTCTTTATCCAACACTCAAGACCAGAGATACCAGTTCTCTAGGAGTATGCCTGGGCCTGACCAGTCAATAACCCGTTTAACAATATTTTAATAGGAAATATTAATGGCTTGAATTGATTTGTGAAGATTTATTGCTGACTAACTGGAAGGCTGTAGGAATAACAGACATCACGGCAGGTTTAATTGCAGAAGGATAAATTGCTGGAAAATATCATTGAATGGTTTGGAATTTTGAGTTTCTGTTCACAGGTTAGAAAATTGAAATCTTAAAACATTTAAATCAGGTGAATTAGCCACAGGCCCCTCCTTGACAGTAGAATTTCCCAAGGCTATCTCAGTGATGCTGGGGCAGAGTTTGCCAATCACTTGAATTACAAATGCACTATCACTCTTTGGGCAAATACCCTCTGAGGGCATTTTACAGGATTAACTGCACTAAGGCAAACATCTGTCTCAGAGCTGTAGTGGCATGCTGGAAGTGTCCCTGCCTCTGGGCCAGAAGGCGTAGGTTCAAGTCCTGCCTGCTCCAGAGTTGTGTAACAACATCTGTGAACGGGTTGGTTAGAAAATATTTTAAGCTCTGGATTGGGCTCATGTGGCACAGTGGTAGTGTCCCTTTCTCTGAGCCACAAGGCCTAGCCTCAAGTCCTGAAGCGTTGACTTGAAAGTACCTAAACTTCTGATTTGTCTAAAAGTGCCAATTTCTTAGTCCTATAAAGTATTAGTTGTTTTTAATGTAGAATGTTATAGGATACAAACAGGCCTTTGGCCTAATTAATCCATGTCACTGTTTTCCACACATCCCAGCCCCAGCCTTGCCTAAGAATTCCTCTTAGCAGTTCAGAGGAGAGTCTTTGATTGTCAGGTCTGTGTCCTGGAACCCTGTAACAAAGTGAGGGTAGCTGGGCAAGAGACTGAATGATATTCTCGCTGCCTCTGGAACGCCCCAGACCAACAGCAAGTCACTATCTCTGAGAATAGCGGGAGAACTTCGAGAGACAGTAAATCAACAAGTTTTTATTCCTCCTGCCCCGGTTAATGTAGGAAATGTTCCAGTGCATCCCAGGAGAGGGAAAGGGAGCTTTGGCAACTATGGGAGAGTTGGGTACGATTGCTATGGAAAATGGCCTTGTTTACTCACAGAATGCCAAGGAATACAGAAAAGAATGTCATTCCAGTGTAAGTTTGCTACGTTCTCGGGTTGTCCTAAAGACTGTCCATTGCCTTGGCAATGATTGTCATAAGATTAGAAGTTTGAATTACCAGTAACAAGTTTACTCAAATTGTATTTTCAAGCAAGCAGTAGATATTCTCAGTCTGTCTATTTCCTGTCTTATAATAATATATTGATTTTAAAAAGCCAGATTTTCTGTTCTGAAACTTCTGAACCTTTTGGACTTCTGGAAGTATTAATTCTTTCAGGCGAGGCCAACATTCCTTTTATTTCGCAGCTCATGTTCCAAATGTTGGTGCTCATCTTAAACTGAGCAATGAGTAGAATGTGTTCACTGCAGCAGTGCTCCCCACTGTAGTGTACACAAACAAAGGCCTCCGGTCAGGGCGCTGGGAACTCCCAGATTTTTATACTGTCTAGGTTTGATCATCACTTGTAACATTTGCTGTTCAAATCACCCAAACATTTTGGGCAAATCACCTAGTCATCGACTTACCTGTTGTGAGTGGTGGGGACTGAGAGTATATTCACAAGAACAGCATCTTTGGGGAGGAGGGGTTGATCACTCTGTTCAATCCCAGTACACACAACCCCCCTCCCCCCACTCATTGTGATGGTATCTTCTCCTGCCCAAACAAGAAATTGCAAGAGGGAACTTCCATTACTAAGGGTTGGTTTCCACCACCTCAGAACATCTTGAAGCACTTTATGGCCAATTGAGGTCTTTTAAAAATGTTGTCATACTTGCATCGCAGGAAATGCAGCATTCAGTTTGTGCACAGCATGATCCCACAAGCTTCAATGCAATAATGTCAGATGATTTTGTGGCAATGGTTGAGGGTCAAATCTTGAGCAGGGCTTTGGGGGAGGGAGAGAAAACTTTCCTGCAATTTCTCAAGGCATCATTTACCCATGGGGCCTCGATCTGATGTCTTACCCAAGAGATGGTATCTCCAACAATGCAGCACTCTCTGGTGAGGCCAGCTTTGATTCATCCTCCAGTTTCTAAAGTGAGGTTTAAACATGCAACCTACTAACCCCAAAGCTATCAACTGAGCCACGACTGAATTGTATGTGCCACCTCAAAGGAAGGAGGAGGAGAGGAGAGTGTTGGATGCCTCTGTTGGTAGAGGTGTCCCGGGAGCTACTGGGTCAGTAGGATTTGTTGTGCTGTTGGTAGTTGGCCACTGCAGAGAACGAAGGGCATTGAAACGCAATAAAAATATCTATGACATGTTTCTATTGTCAGAATAGTCAGTACATTGAGCACACAGGATTGGTCACAAGATCTGGGAAAAGGTAGGAATCCTGCAATGGGAAATTTGCCAAAATTCCTAAACTTTTTCCACCACCTCTAGGGGTCAAAGAATTGCAGATCCAACATTTAAAGTAGTTCACTATGATTCAAAGCTAAGTATCTTGCTTAATCAACATCCTCCACATTACCTTTTACACTCCTGCATTCATCACCAATATGGCGCTGCTGCATTATGTACCATTTGCAAGACATTTCACGTACCAACTACAGGCTCAACCTGTTGGAAGAGCAAGGACAGTAGGCCCACAGAGCACCTACATCTGTAAGATCTCCTGCACCATCCTTGTTTGGAACAATGTAATTGCTCTTCTACATCCCTCCCTAACAACACCTTCATTTCACAGATCAGTCTTAGCGCATGTACCAAATGTTGGTGCTCACCTTGAACTCAGCAAAGGGCTGGAATGTAAACCGAAGTTGCTGGAAAAGCTCAGCAGGTCTGGCAGCATCTGTGAAGAAAAATCAGAGTTAACGTTTCAGGTCTGGTGACCCTTCCTCAGAACGGTCTGAAGAAGGGTCACTCTGATTTTTCTCCACGGATGCTGCCAGACCTGCTGGGCTTTTCCAGCAACTTGTGTTTTTAATCCTGATTTACAGCATCCACAGTTCTTTCTGTTTTAATGGGTGGAATGTGTCCACTGCAGCTGTGCTCCCCACTGTGTGTACATAAACAAAGGCCTCGGGTCAGGGCACTGGGAGCTCCCAGATTCTTATACTATCTAGGTTTGGCCTTCACTTGTATCATTTGCTGTTCAAATCATCTGAAACATTTTGGGCAAAATACACAGTCATAGTCTTACCTATTGTAAAGAGTGGGGACTGAGAATATATTCACATGAACAGAATTTAGGGAAAAGTGATCACTCTGTTCTATCCCAATGTACACAACTCCTGCCTGCCCCTTCTGATGCTATCTTCTCCTGCCCAAACAGAAGATCGCAGAAGAAGGGAGCTCCCATTCCAAAGGTTTGGCTTCCACCACCTCAGAACATCTTGAAGTACTTTATGGCCAATTTCAAAATGTCGTCACAGTTGCAGTGCAGGAAATGTGGCAGTCAGTTTGTGCACTGCACAGTCCTACAAGCTTCAACACAATAATGTCTAGGTCATCTGATTTGTGGCGATGGTTGAGGGTCAAATCTTGGCCAGGGTCCGGCGGGGGAAGGAGAAAAGAAACTTCCCTGCAATTGCTTAAGGCATTGTTTACCCAATGGGGCCTTGATCTGTTGTCTTATCAAAGACATGGTATCTCCAACAATGCAGTGGTCTCTGGTGAGGCCAGCTTGGATTCATCTTCCAGTTTCCAAAATGGGCTTTAAACATGCAACCTGCTAACCCCAAAGCTATCAACTGAGTCACAATTGAATTGTACATGCCACCTCAAAGGGAGGAGGAGGAGAGGTGAATGTTAGATACCTCTGTTGGTAAAGGTGTCCCTGGAGCTAATGGGTCGGTCGGAATTGTTGTGGTGTTGGTGGTTGGCCCCTGCAGAGGTCAAAGGGCATTGAAACACAATTAAAATGTCTATGGCAGGTTTCTACTGTCATGAGAGTCAGTACATTGAGCACACAAGGATTGAGGTGATAGAAGAACCAGAAATGTCAAACTTGTATGTGTTCTGAAGAAGAATCATAATGGACCCAAAACATTAATTCTGTTTCTCTCTCCACAGATGCTGCCAGACCTCCTGAGTTTCTCCAGCATACTCTATTTGAACCAGAATGGGTGGAAATTAGGATTAGCAAGGGTCAGAGCATGTGAACTTGTTGGAAATTGGGAATAGCCCCACTTGGCCCCTGGAGCATACTCCACCGCTTGATGGTGAATCTAATTTAGATTCCTCCCTACTCCTGATAACTGTTCTTCCCTTTGATTATCAAGAATCTATCTGTCTCTGCTTTAAAAATTGCCAAACACTCTGCTTTCACCATTCTTCCTCACTACCCTTTTGAGGACAGCACTTAAAGGCTCTGTGAGAAAAGAAATTTTCCACTTCTCTTTTTTTTCCCATAAATGGGATGAGGACATTGCTGGCTAGGCAGCATTTATTGTCCATCCCTAATTACCCAGAGAGCAGTTGAGAGTCAGCCACATTGCTGTGGGTCTGGAGTCACATGTAGACCAGACCAGGTAAGGTAGGTAGTTTCCTTCCCTAAAGGACATTAGTGAACCAGGTGGGTTTTTCCCCAACAATTGGCAACAATAGTCATCATTAGACTCTTAATTCCAGATATTTTATTGTATTCAAGGTCTACCATCTGCCATAGTGGGATTTGAACCCAGGTCCCCATAATGTCATCTGGGTCTCTGGATTAACAGTCCAGTGATAATACCACTAAGCCATTGCCTCCCCTATAAATGGGCAAACCCTTATTTTTAAGCAGTGACAAATAGTTCCAGAAATTATTGGTGAGTGTAGTTTATAGGCCTGTTCACTCTAGTTATAGCATTGGGCAAAACATTAAACAGGAAATTATTGATGTGTGTTGCAAAGGCAAGACAGTAATTGTGGGGCAACATTAATCTTCATATAAACTGGATTAATCAAATTACCAGTGGTGATCTGAATAACAAGTTTGCAGAATGTTTTTTACAAATGTTTCCTGCCACAATACATTGTAAAATTGATTAGGGTTGAAGCTATTTTAGATCTAATATTGGGAAGTGCAATAAGAGTTAATTAGGAATATCATATTGTAAAACAAATCCTCTGGGAAATAGTGATCGTAAAACAATTTAACTCCATATTAAGTCTGAAAGCAACATGTGCCAATCACAAACAAGAATCCTAAACTGCTGTAACCAGGTGAAGTAGATGGAGTCAGCTTCTCTGTTTCATCACTGGTGCTGACTTTCAAATGATGGGAAGGAAACAGGGACAGAGTGTCTTCCAGCTGTTAAAAATCCAATTTTGTTTGTGTCTGCTGCTTTGTCAAACAGCTATTGAAATATAATTCAATTGTGTATTCTTGAGTCTGGTCCCATTGGCATTCCAGACTGGATGGCTACGGGCAACCTTGCATGTGCAATATGAACAACTTATCATTCAGGTGTAAATTAAAACAGGCAATGTGAGCTTCTTGATGTGTCACCCAGTTGACTAGTTTGAATGACTTAAAGATAAAATAGTAATTTCAGTTCAGATTATTTCATGTATTAATGGAATTCTTGAATTTGCCTTGCTCTGTGGTCAGGTGATCACTGCAGCCAATCTAGGCCCAAGTTTCCTCCTTTTAAAATCGTTTTACTCCCAAGGTCTCAGGTATTAAAGTCCAATGATGGAAGGATAATTAGAGTTTTTTTGAGGATAGAATGATCAGGTTAGATAAAGGGGAACCAGTAGATAGAGTTTACTTGGATTTCCAAAAAAAATTCAATAAGGTATATATTCCCTCCAGCCCCCATCCCCACACCCCAAGCCCTCCAATATATCCTATTTTCTCCACCCTCAAATGGACAACATTCTAAGGCCAGTGGTGTCAGCAATCGCTCACAAATGAGTATAAATATCCATCTTGGAAATTCCTTGTCACTGGTCATAGGCTCTGAATCCTTATATGGCAGATAAGCCTGATCCTAGATCCACGCATTTGACAGGTTATTTCAGGGAGGGATTAGTGTTCTTTGGCTTTGGGATTGATGGCATGCCTTTCTCTGGTTCTTTTTCCATTCTTCCTTTTGTCAACTAGTATTCTCAAAGATTGTGTCCCTTCGTACAGAGGGTTCCTCCAAGTCAGTTTCTTCTGAACATGGGTCTCCCATGTATTCACATCTATCTTGTATTTCTTGAGGGAAGCCTTCAGGGAGTCTTTGAAATGCTTCATTTGTCCTCCTCTCATTTGAATGTCTTCCTTGATCTGGGTGAAGATGA